GCAGTGTAAAGCTATTTACAGCTGGCATCCACAAAAAAAGCCAAAAAGTGTCAAAATTTGAGCTCATTTTGAAAATTTGGTCATGCAAAAWTTTTCCCAAGTCTTAAAGTGAAACAAGACCCAATCTGAAAACTATTATTTGAAATTTTGTTGTTGTTTTTGTTTTTGATTTTAMTAAGAGCAAACATTTTGATTGTTTACACAGAAGGAGGGGGTTTAAATTTTGTTTTGTGATTATCCTGTAGTGGCTTTGGCTTYAACTTCCAGCTTAGAGTCTAATAATTGAATATACTTCAGTGAGTTTGCATGTTTTTCAGTTTGGATCAGGAAAAAAAACTGCAGTAACATTAAAGTTGTTTTTATAAAGCTTTGAGGTTTCATACTGACTCCAGCCCTGGAACATGTTTGGTTCAGAAAAGACCAAAGTGAATCTGGCATCATGTTTAATGACAGAAACTGWATGTGTGGCTTCAGTCCTTCCACAGAACTCTACCTTGCAGACTCCGTCCACACAGATATCCCCTCGCCCCGGGTGGCAGGGGGTCCCGTCAGCTACAGCGCTGCGGTGGCGGTAGTAAAAGTTTTCACCTCTAGGCATGCAGTTCARCTCACAGGGGTTCTCAGCTGTCAAAACACAAACAAGTTCACTAAAAACACTGCAGCTGTGAAAACATCTGTCTCAGGTTCCACTTATTGTCTGTGACATGAACTGAAATGAGCTCGACGTAAACAGATCGTTTCAAATGAACATTTGAATAAACAAATATAAAGTCGACCACTTCAAACCTCCGTAATAAGGCAGCCACTTGTAACGTTTTCCCTGGAAATCAGTCCCGTCAAACAGGGAACACTGCTCCTCCCGGAAATCCTTGGATCCTTCAGGACAATCCTGAGAGCAGAGAGGTCAAAGGTCAGGATCAACAGGTTCATAACTAAATATAATATATACAAATCAGGTTTGGTTTCATTAGTTAAAGTCACATTTTTATGTCTTTGTGTTGTTGTAAAGGCAATAAATCTGTCAAAATAAAATACCTGAAATTAATAAAAAATTATTTTCTGCAGAAATGTTTGATGGTTTCCAATTCAGCTCCTGACTTCAGCATAACTTTATAATCCAAGATCATAAACTTAGAGAGATTAAAAATCCAAAGAGATATTACAGCTCTTGTTAGTGGCTCATTATGGTCACCATGGTTACCACACAACTGTGTCTGTTACTCCCTGACTGCCAAGATTAAAAGAAGGAAATTACAAGTCAGATATTAAAACTTTTAGAATAGAATAGAATAGA